CGATGGGCTGAATTGCACAGAACGCATGATCGCACCGGCTAGTCTGGTGCGCGTTGCCATTTATTTGAATGTGTCCCTCGGCAGTGGCCGACCCTCTCTGTAACGGGTTGTGTTCCGATCTTGCCCAGTTTGTTGCGTTAGCGGAATAAGCAATGCAAAGAATGATTTGCCGTGTTCTTAAGCACACCTTACTTTGATATTCGACTAATTGTAGAATCCTTCAACCGCTCTGTGATTGTTTCCGGGCCGATGTTGCGTTGGCCTGTTGCTGGCTGTAGCGATCGTTGCAACTCTGTTCAGAAGTAGCTGGCCTCCCGTGCACTTAGCCAGGACGCTGTGACCTAGGCCAGTCTGTGGTACTCAGAAATGTGCGGAAGCAGACAAAAGAGTGGGTACTTGAGGAATGCTGTCTATCCGGCCCTCAAACGTCCCGATGAATTTCTTCTCCGAAGGTTGTTTGAGAAGCAGACTATAAGTGACTTCCAGTTCGTAAAGCGACTGTTCCTAAAATCGGCGAAGCTGCGTTTACGCATGCTGGGTGATGTCACGAAAATGCACGTGAAGTGGATAAAAGACATTGGTGAAGTAAAATCCTTCAGATGGGGAAAAAGAATGGCGCATTTTCCCGTCCAGAAAGGTACACGGAAGGGTGAGAGAGGCTGGGGAAGAGGCTTAGGTGGGCGAAGGACATCTGAGTGGATTGAATCGAATGATGAAGTGGGTGAGGGTAGGAAAGCACAAAATCTGGCCAGGAGACAAACTTAGTCAGGCACAGAGTGAAACGCGTCGAAAGGACTGAATGCGTCAAATAGTAATAAAACACTAAATTTAAACAGTCATTGGCGACGTGCACTGGGCGGGCCCGTGCGATCATGCGTTTTTGCAACATTTTATGCTGTAATAAGATCGCTCGGAGCCCAGTAGCTAGAAACGTGTGATGTACTGGTCCTCGAGATCCGAGAAGTGTGGACGGGGAACAATTCGAGGAAATTTCAGTTTTCCGAATTTCCTGGTTCTTGAGTTAGTAATTTTCCTGCCAAAAATTTTCACGGGGCCGTACGTGACACCACGTACGGCCAAGGGCTGAGTTTGATAAACTAAAGTCATACATGGGCAAGGAACATCCCCTGGAAGTTTCAGCTCCCCAGCTTTCCTGGTTCTCGAGTTAGCCATTTCCGCGCCAAAAATCATTTACGGGGTCGTACGTGAGAGCCACGCATGCTCGGGAGCTGAATTTGATAATTTTAAGCTGAGCATATGTTAGCACTATTTTCTGAAAATTCCAGCCTCCCAGCTTCCCTGATTCCTGAGTTAGCCATTTTCTCGCCAAAAACTTTCACGAGGCCGTACGTGATTACCATGCAGACTGAGGGGCTGAAATTGATAAACTTAAGTTGTACTTGAGTTAGGAACATTCTCTGAAAATTTCAGCCTCCCATTTCTTGGATCCCGAGTTAGCCATTTTCGCGCCAAAAAATTATACAGGGCCGTACGTGAGTGCCACACAAGCTGAAGGGCTGAGTTTGATAACTATAAGTTGTACTTGTGCTGGGAACATTCCCCTGAAAATTTCAGCTCTTCAGCTTTCCCGGTTCATGAATTAGCGATTTTCGCGCCAGGAACCCTCACGGGGTCATCAGCGGGAACCACGCACGCCTGGAGGCCGAATTTGAAATCTTTGAGTTCTATATACACGGGGAACATAACCTCAAAATTTCAGCTTTCTAGCTTTTTTGGTTCCCGAATTAGCGATTTTTCCGCCGAAACTTTCACCACCTCGTACGCGGGGCTCAGACTTTCATGAGGGTTGGTACCGCGGTCCTGGGGTGCCACCTGGTCAAGGAACCCACTTGCAAAATTTTGGCGCCGGAGCCTGCTTGGGTGCCGAGTTGAAATTACCCGGACAGACGCACGCATACACACAAACACACACACACACACACATATACACACACACAAACACACATACACACACATCGGGGTCGTCACAATATGCGTTTTCGCATTTGCGTATATGCAAAAACGCATAAAAAATTGGAAGATGGGAAGTTGCTGCTCTCAGATCTTCCGCCATGTAAATGGCCTTGCTGTCGCTCGCTTCAAGCTCAGTTACAATTGTGCTTTCCATGCTGTAACTGGTCGAATTGAGTGGCCATGTTGCATTCAAGCAGTGCTTCTCTCGATTTTCCAAGTGGTTGTCGATGAGGAAGGACGAACAGTGAAGCCTGAAAACAGAAACCGAAAGAGGCCAAACGTACGTGCAAATCCACAAGCCGAGGTTCCTCCTACAGTAACACACGTGTGTGCGTATTAGGCCGCGTTATCCGCCCTCCTCATTATTGATTACATTGGCCGGTGTGGCGCGCGGCGGGGCCATGTACTTTGTCTGCGTTACCTGTGGAGCATTCCTCGTTCAACATGGTGAGC